GCTCCTCAGAGTCCGGGCTGGTTCATATGGGACTAACATGTCACTAATATATTTTGGTGCGAGGCCATGGAGAGACTTGTACACAAGCAGAGCTGTTTTAAAGTCTATTCTCTGAGCCACAGGAAGCCAGTGCAGAGACCTGAGGACCGGACTAATGTGGTCGTACTTCCTGGTTCTAGTCAGGACTAATGTGGTCGTACTTCCTGGTTCTAGTCAGGACTCGAGCTGCTGCATTTTGAATGTACTGCACCTGTTTTACAGCCTGTTTGGAGAGACCTGTGAGCAGGCCATTGCAGTAGTCTAACCTACTGGAGACAAATGCATGGATGAGAATCTCCAGGTCTGCTTTAGACACTATGTTTTTGATCCTGGAAATGTTTTTTAGATGGTAAAAAGCTGCTGATGTTACTGATTTGATGTGGCTATTAAAATTTAAGTCTGAGTCCAGTATTACCCCTAGATTTCTGACCTTGTTTGAAGGTTTTAGGGAGAGAGACTGTAGGTGACAGATGACGCTCTCTCTTTGTTTCTGGGGACCAAAGACAATAATTTCAGTTTTGTCTGCGTTTAGCTGAAGGAAGTTGTTTTGCATCCACTCACTGATCTGTTGGATACAGTGAAAGAGTGAGTCCACTGGTCCATGTTCTCCTGCAGTCAGTGAGACATAGATCTGAGTGTCGTCTGCATAGTTATGATAGGAAACTTCGTTTCTGCGTATTAACTGACCTAACAGCAGCATGTAGAGATTGAACAGAAGAGGTCCCAGGATTGACCCCTGTGGTACTCCACAGGTCAGGGCCATATGATCTGAGACACAGTTTCCAATCTCCACAAAGTACTTCCTGTGCTCAAGGTAAGACCTAAACCAACTTAGGGCGGTGCCAGCGACGCCAACCCAGTCCTCTAGTCTCTGTAAGAGGATCTCATGGTCGACGGTGTCAAAGGCAGCACTTAGATCTAACAAGATTAAGATTGAGACTTTGCCTGCGTCAGTGTTCAGCCGGATATCGTTTGTAACCTTGATGAGAGCAGTCTCAGTGCTGTGGTGGGGTCTAAAGCCGGACTGAAACATATCAAATGAGTTGCTGATTATAAGAAATCTAGTAAGCTGTAGGTAGACAACTTTCTCAAGGACTTTCCCCATAAATAGCAGATTTGAGATGGGACGATAGTTGTTAAGTACCGTAGCATCCAGACTGCTCTTTTTTAGCAGGGGCCTGATGACAGCAGTTTTCAGGGCCTTTGGGAATATTCCAGAATGAAGGGACATGTTTACTATCTGTGTGAGTGAAGGTAACAGACTGCTCAGAACAGACTTCAGAAATCTAGTGGGTAGTACATCCAAGCTGCATGTGGAGGAGCTAAAACTGGAGATTATCTCTTGGATGGTTTGATCATTTACAGGTGCAAAGTAAGTTAGCTCAGAGAGCCTTTCTGGCTGTTGGATGGTTATCTGTGGATTGGAGACAATGGCGTTTTGGATGGCTTGAACCTTGTCATTGAAAAAAATAGCAAACTCATTACATTTACGTTTGGAAGTTAGCTCTAATGGTATTTGAACAGGGGGGTTTGTTAATCTATTAACTGTTGAGAACAGAACACGCAGATTGTTGCTGCAGACTTCAATCATTTCAGTAAAATACCTTTCTCTTGTACTACGTAGCACCCGGTTAAACTCGCACAACTTATCTTTGAAGATCTTGTAATCATCATCATCATCCTCATTATCATTATCATCATCATCATCATTATCATCATCATCATCATCCTCATTATCATCATCATTATTATTATCATCATCATCATCCTTATCATCATCATCATCATTATCATCCTCATTATCATCATTATCATCCTCATTATCATCATCATCCTCATTATCATCATCATCATTATCATCATCATCATTATCATCATCATCATTATCATCATTATCATCATCATCATTATCATCATTATCATTATCATCATCATCATCCTTATCATCATCATCATCATCCTCGTCTTGTTGATACAAAAAACAGCAATACAGTAGGTCCCATTTCGTCTTCAATGTATGTGCCATATTTCATTGTACTAATAAATGTAAACGTTTTTTGTCTTGTTTTTTTCTCCTCAATAATTCTATGATGTGTGGTGCTTTGAGAGTTAGAGTCAGCAAATTATTTATGTATTTTTGAAATGCAATTTTAAAAAATTACACATAGGGGTTATTTGACCATATATAGATACTTTATTGATCCCCCATACATGGGAGATCACATGTGAGAAATTCAGGTGTCCAGCAGCAGAAGACTCCTCCAGGTTTGTTGTACAGTCTGACAGCCGAAGGAACAAAGGATCTCTTGAATCGCTCCGTTTGGCAGCGTAGTGATAGGAGCCTGTTTCTTTGATTACTCCTCTGAGCGGCCATAGTGTCATGCAGAGGGTGTCTGGAGTTACCCAGGATGCCCTGCATTAGAGCCCTCATCCTTCTCTCCAGCACAGCTCCCACAGAGCACAGAGACACATTTCCTGATCAGCCTGTCGAGGAAGTTTCTGTCTCTCAAGGTCAGACTGCCGCCCCAACACGCGACCCCAAAGAACACGGCGCTAGCTACCACAGACTGGTAAAGTATGTGCAACATTTGACTGCTCAATCAAATGAATGGAGCGGACTGGAAACAGCAGAGGGGGTACCAGAAGAACCACTACACCGAGCAACAACCAACAAAGCACTTACTGAACAACTGCAGACAGAGAGAAGTGAGATTCCACTCATAGAATAATGTCACACAAAGAACATTTCTCTGGCAGTTAACATTTAGACCGTGTCCCGTACATACTTTATCTAAAAACTGAAGAAATGTTTGTGTTTCCATGTAAACCTATACACAAATGATTTCTCACAGTTTTAATGATACTATTCAAATGCACTGTTTGATGCTGAACTGCTGCTAACTCAATCACTTCCACCAGTGATATTTCTAAAAAAAATAATAATAATTATAATAATAAAAGTGTAAGGAGTTTTTGATTGAGTTGTTTGAGGTGAGGCTGTGATCTGAAAGGAAAGTTCTAGATTCTGGAGAGACAGATCTTAAAGGCTGTATATATTAGAAACTTTGAGAAATTGAACAATTGTTGTGATACATGTAAGTGAGAGTCTTGAAGGAGACATAGGTTTTGAGGTTGTTCACTTTATCTTATTTCAAAACTACTTTGTTATATTACAAAATATAACAAAGTTGAATTGTTTGGAACACATAACATCATGTATGGAGGAAAAATGGAACAAGATAAAAACCTCATCTCCACTGTGAAGCCTGGTGGAGGGAGCATCATGCCTTGGGGCTGTTTTCTGCCTCGGGCCTGGTCAAGTTGCAAAAATGTATAGAAAAATAAAATCTGATGTTTATCAAGATGTTTTGCATGAAAACTTGAAATAAATCTGTTACAGATTAAGCTAAAAGAGAATGGATTCTGCAACAAGACAACGATCCAAATCACTTGAGTTAATCAACTCCAGAACGATTTCAGAAGAACAAAATACACTTTCTTGAGCGGCTTAGTATTGCATTGCTTTTATACAGCACTCAAAGAGGCTTCACATGTCATGGGTTTTTCACACCAAACCCGGTGGTGATAAACAACTACAGCTGCCCTGGGGCACTCTGACAGAAGCATGGCAACCAATATGTGCCATCGCCCTCACCAACCTCCACCAGTCATTCACACACGCAAGCACCAGAATCAATCTAGAATATTTGGGTGAAGTGTCTTGACTAAGGACACAACGGCAGTTCGGCACTTTACAACTGCCCCACTGTGGCACCTGGTGTCCCTAGCGGTCTCCCATCACAGTACTAACCAGGCCCTGCCATGTTTATCTTAAAAGGTCTGACAAGATCTGGCTTACACATGCAAGTGTGGCCACAAGGTATGGACACATTTAAGTCAAGTCCTGACTTGAACCCTATTGCGATGACTTAAAGACAGCAGAGAGATATCAACAATCTGCGGCAGTTTTGTAAAGAGGAATGGTCAAAAATCTATCCTGATAGAAGAAGGATAGAAGTTTTGCAGCCTAAAGGATGGGCAACCAGCTTTGTAATAGTTTGTTAATCATTCCTCCCCCGTCTGTCATCTGTGTTTGAAAATTAAATAAGAAAACATATTCATATCTGGGTGTTTTTAGTTTAAGCAGAGGCTGTTTTATTCCATCTGTGTGAGTTTGAGAAGATCTCATTTGAGGGTGATTTTATGCAGAAATGTGAGAACGCTTCAGAATATTTTTTTTTGACCTCTGTTTGAGTGAGACCATAACAAACGCTCCTCCGTCGGTGGACAGATGGAGCTTGTTGTGGTCTCCCTCCTCAGAACAGAACAGTAGAGCTCTCCACTCATGCCCCCAAAATGTGCACGCTCGAAAATGGTCTGCCAGCACAATACGCAGTTTTAATTCAAGAAAGAACGCAACACAAAACATTACAATAATCCAACAAGACCAAACCTTGTTCTTAAAGCGGGGATATCAAACTCTTCTGTCACTGTTTGACGCTTTAGGATCATAACTTTTTTTCACTGTCTTCACTAAACATGTAGCAACTGGGAATACATACATTGTTCATTTTGTAGTTTGAAAGTTAAGTGTAACAGGTTTAAGTTTAATCTAACACATGTAACGATTGCAGGCAAACTGTATTGTTATGTAGATTTTTTATTCATTTTATGCATGCCTTATTTTATTTTCAGTGTTTTAACTTGTTTGCACCGAGAGTCAAGGCAATGTCCTAGTTTGTGACTTCCTTTTACTGGCAATAAAACATATTCTGATTCTGATGCTGAAATGCATGTAGTAAAAAAGACAAACTTTGATCCTAGTGAGGCCAAGTTAATGCGACATAACCCAGGTGATATATGCTCATAATTATTATTTTTTTTCTCTTTAATACTACATTGCACACAAAAACAGTCGCTCTTATTGTTTAACCTATAATATTTCTCAGTGTAGCACCCACCTGCGCGGCCATAAACGACAGATCCATGCTCACCGCTCCTCCTGCGAAGCACTCAGCCACGATTTCCAAAAAGACAATTCCAAAACACCAAATTCTCCCACTTCCTTCAGCAGATCATTTGCTTTCTGCGCAGTTTTACGTGAAAAACATGGCCAAAAAAATCAGTCGTATCGGTCTGTCTTTACGCGCGCTGGCGATGGATGAGCTGTTGGTGATGCTTGAGACGCGCGTTCCGGATCTGCTCCTGACGCGTCTGCCGCTCCCCCGTACGCGCTCTCCGGGGTTGCTCTTTTCGCTCGCCCCTCGCTCACTTGGCTCTGGAGGAAGCTATTTTTAGCGGCAAAAAAAAGATTGGGGATTACCGTCGGAGGAGTGTATCAAGACCAACTCAAAACGCGGAGCATAAGAGAAGAAGGCTAATTATGATGTTTGGAATGACACGCGCACAAAGCTGCATGTGGGAATGGAGTGGGAAGGTGCCAGATTGTGGGGTGACTTTCACTCTTAAGATCATGGCTGTGTAGGCAACCACGTGGAGCAAAAATATGAAAGCGCAAAATATAATGTACAGTAGTTTGATTTTGTTCCTTAGAGATGCGTATGTAAGCACCAAAGTACATCCGTGACTCTGAGGAGCACAGGGACAGGGTTAGGACTAAGCATGGGGGGGACTCCAAGGAGCACAGGGACAGGGTTAGGACTAAGCATGGCAGATCACTTTCAGATGTATGCAGCTATAATCTGTAACAGTCTTCCTGAAAATGTGAAACACGCTTCTTCTCTGACAATGGTCAAGTCCAGTTAAAAAAAAGTCTGTTTAGCTGTGCACACAACTGAAAGATTCTATATTCACTCCTTTTTAATATACTCTGATTGTTTATGGCTTGAATGCACTGTGTGATTGTGTCATTGTTTGCTGAGTTGCCTTGTTTATGAACTGTGCCATACAAATACAAGTCTTGTCAAATTTTCAAAGCACAAAACGAGGTACTATGCTGGTTTTATCACTATAGTTTTCACATCCATGTATATTTGGCTTCTGTCACGTTTTCCTGACAGAAAAGTTAGGGCCACCCTCACTCAGCCAATCAGCTCAAAGTGTCAAACAGTGACTCACAGGGCTTTTTCTTACAAATATGCTAAAGATATGTATTCTAAGTCAACATGTTGTGACTCTTTCAGTCGGGACAAACAAAATATATTATTCATGAAGAAAGCTTTTTAGGTACCGCAGCTTTAATTATGGTCGAGTGTATTCTTTCTGCTAAAGTGATAATTTGACCCCAGCGGCTTATTATTTGGCTTGATTTAGAACATTGCAAATCTAATGTGTATGAGAGGTTACCATGGCAATGCTCTCATCAGTATCACGGTCTAACCCTGAGATGTTCTGAGCCGCGCTTGTGAGACGAGATTCTATGTTTTCATTGTTAGAACTTTGGAAAGCTGAAAAAAGCAGTGAACTCAACCCACAAAATCAAGTTCAAGCCGTTAATTAAGTAAAGCGGGAGCCAGATTAAAGTTTTAATTGCTTTGCGGCACCACTAGCCTTCGCTCTGTTGTCTTCGTGCAGCTTTTCTTTGTGCGCGATCCCATTGTTAATCACTTCATTTGAATACAAAGGCCTGTGAACCATGCGTGACCTATTAGAGCCTAGTCTTTTCACGCTAATCGGCCGCTTACTTCAAGAAAGATACTGTTACTCAAGTACAAAGTAATGCTTCAAACTATTCCTATTACTTCTCTCATAATATCAGGAACTGGAGCACACTTCTTCCTTGGCAAAAGGTGCATTTTGCATAATATGTTTTCTTAAAAGACCACAACAAAGTAACAAACAACTGCAATGAAAACAAAACAATTCATGGCTTTGTAATTTTGTCAAAAATGAAAAATGAAAAGAGGGTTTTTTATTCAAACAGCATTAGTTCATACTTGCTGTAATCACAGGACAGGTTTTTCTCATTCGTCTTCACAAAACAACTATTGATTATCACTTGGATTTATGCCTGGACTTTTACTGGGTCATTCTACCGCATTTGTTCTAAACCATTATTATTTATGGAAAGTCTTATAAGGAAATAGCCGGGATGGGAGGTGAACGTCCATCTCAGCCTCTAGTGTTGTGCAGACTCCACCAACCTTTCTTTCCAGATGTTCCAGATGTAATATTCTCAATCCAAAAGCAGTTCCACAGCATGATGCTGCCACCACCCTGTCCGATAGTTGTGATGAGCAGTGTTAGTTTTCCACCATGTATGTTTTATATTTGGGTCAAAAAATAATGTAACTTTTTGATCCACCTTTCTTCCGATTCTGATCTGTGGCCAGCTGGGCTTTTTGCAACTTTATTTCTCGTCCCATCAGTATACTAGTGAACAATAATCAATAGTTTTCAGATACTTCTCTAATTTCTTGCGCTGAGTGTAACTTTATTTCATTTCCGCAGCTTTACTTTAGCCTCAGTCTGACCCCCGCTGGCCAGTCCATCACCGGCATCACACCATTTCCTTCCGCCTATTTCTTCTTTCGCTCCGATCTCCAGTCACTCTTCTTCCAAATGGACAGCGGAAGGCTTGAAACCGCATCCCAGAGTGCATTTGGGCTGTCAGCTGACCCGCATATCTTAAACACCGTCCAATCAATTAGAGTGAGGAGCAGCGCACTAATGTGTTGTGACATGGCTGACGTTTTTCGGCCCTCAAAATAAATTCTCCACAATCGTGTAATGAGTGTGTGAGTGAGTGGTTCAGGGCGAGGCTGTGCTCTGAAAGGAAAGTTCTAGATTCTGGAGATGCAGAAATGGCTGTAAATAATAGACAACTTTGAGACATGAAATAATGTTGTGATCATTGAGAACGAGTCTTGAAGAAGAATATTCTGCCTTTTTTGGGTTATGATGATGACTACAGTATATGACACAAAACTGATGAACAAAGGCTTTGAAGTGTACGTAACCCTTTTGTTTCTTCAGACTCATGTTTGTCCCCACACACTTTCTCAACAAATCATACGTTTTTTTGTGTTGCTTTTCCACTTTTGAACAAGAATCAAAATGTTTGAAATTATCACAGCTGTAGTTTATGAGGGGGAATGAGTGGTCAGTGAAAAGTTGTTTACCTGAGGCCTAGAATACAGAGCCGATTACGTGATTAATTGCATTTGAACGAATCCTTTACAAACATCAAACGGTCATGTCACAAAGAAGTCAGGCTAAATCCCTGTTTTTAGAGTATTTACCTTATTAGGATCACAGCTAAAAGTTCATACACAGGCTAATACAGCTTGAATACAGTAATTATGTGGGTGACCAAGAAATTGCCCTAATCAAGGTCTGCAGGGGGACTTGGCTTGAGCAGCCCCCTACCTTTAGGTACATCCGCCATTGCTACTTTTGAAGTAATTTTCCCCCACCGCACATGTAACTCATGCCCAGGGTCCTTCATCTCTGGTTGTATTAGTGGTTGGAGGAGTGTTGACAGCTGCAGGATGTTTCCAACTCAATTTGAGCTCACACGTGGGCAGGTGACTCTCGGGGAAAGGCTTATTGGAGGTAGTGGAGGAGGAGCCGGGGGAGCGACACGGTGCAGGTCTGTGTGAGGTGTATGAGTTTAACATGCAGTAATTTTTCATGGAGCTGTCTGTTTGTGTGGCACAGAGTTTATGAGCTAAAACATTACTGCAGATTAATGAGACTTTTTCTCCCTTTAACCGTGTTACAACATTGGCTCATCAAAAGCAGACCTGGAGTTGTATTCAGCTCCTCTGGGTTGAATTTATAGGCCTTTACACACTGCAGCAGGGTTGAAATGCTGTGTAGACCTGGGATGTCAGTAGAAAACAGCGTGTGTTGTTGACCAAAAAGGATCCACAAGAATGACCAAAAACAACGGGAAAATCAAACTTTCCCAATCTTCTTGAAGTCACAGTGTAGAGCACCCAGTACCCAGGGAAGCACAAGCCCATCATCCGTTAGCGCAGTGGTTCCTAAAGTGGGATATCTTAATTACGTTTGTAATTTTGTCCCAGTCATTGACAGCGTCAATCAAAATCACGTTACGCAGCTTACAACACGCAGCGACAAAGCGTGTCCTGCTGTTGTTTGCTAAAGCTTAAGGTGTTTGAAGGCTACAGACAAATAATACCTGCTTTAAAATGAAATGTGCTTAATATCCACAACAGAAAAACCCGGAGGGAGAGAAAAGTCACATGTGTCAGAGGTCAGGCTGATGGTGCGAAGACTGTGGAGGGAGAGAGGGCAGCGGAGAACACCGCGGTAAAGAGTCCAATAAGCCGGGTCTCTTTAGCGCGGTCTGAGAACATTGAGGGCGAGCCGCAAGAAATGCCCTCCACCTCTGCTAAGGGGGGATCCCACCAAGCCCCGCACTTGCGTCACCAGGCAAGTAAAAATAATTATGGCACTTATTTTGGGCTGGCGAGTGCAGCTCGGTAGTGGCGCGAGTCTCTCTAAAGCAGTAGTAGTAATCTTTTCTTTATTTATATACCGTTTTTTCACTGCAGATCAGAGTCTCAAAGCGGTAAAAATTGTTATTTTTGGGCATTTGTCTCGCACTCCACACAGAGATAGGAGAAAGGGCACCAGTACAGGAGGCGCATGCCAGATCTATTGAGCATGTTTTTAGTAGTAGGGGAAACCGGAGTACCCGGAGGTAACCTACGCAGACACGGGGAGAACATGCAAACTCCACTCAGAAAGGCCCTGGTCCAATCGGGATTCCAACCCAGGACCTTCTTGCTGAGAGGCGAGAGTGCTATCCACTCAGCCACCGTGCTGCCCAAAGGGTTACTCCGAATCAAGGAAATACGTGCTCATTTCATGTGACGGGAAGGGCTGTGGAGTTGGGGGGTCGCGGGGGAGCAGCGCATTTATCATGGGGGTCGCAGGCTAAAAACTTTGGGAACCCCTGCCTTAGCGCAATATACATATTGCAAAGTATTGTTATGCTCTCATTATGCTACTGTCATTTATGTGACTTGTTTGTAGCTTTAGAACCAAATGTTGAAAG